ATATGTCATGAAAATCATAAAAAAAGACTAAAAGTTATTCTAAGACTTACAAAACAATAGCGTTAACATTTAAATAATGTTTTTAATTGAGAGGCAGATTTGGGAAAATTACTTTTAAGAAAATTTCTTTGCTTTAATTAATAGTAGTTCGTTAATTTTATTGCTCATGTTCTGAAGGTTGATTTCAATCCATTTAATAATGCAACAAATTAAAGTAAATTACAAATTATATGAGTCCGATAAATATTTTGTACTGATTTTTGCATTTTTGTCCGTTTTATTATCCTGTCCATTTATCAGAATTAGGTCATCGAGCCATAAATTGGCGCATTAGCTGTAAAAGTGTAAAAACTGCTTAACTGTGGTTAAAAGCGAGTGACATATGCGGTTGGGAGTTTGTTAATAGGGTGGGGTTGTAGGGGCGGGTGTTACGCCCAATGCTGACACACACAGCTGCCACATTGATAGGCACTTTATATATATTGGGTTAAGTGCGATGCACTTATGACTACAAACGCACACACACACGCGCATGTTTTAGAGTGTGTGTCTAAAATGTAATTCTGCGCTAATGCGCACTTGAACCACATTTCTGTGTGCTTTTTTGGGTCAACCAAATCCCACAAGTGCTTGTCAAAACTAAAATAAATCAAAATAAATTTTCACGAAATGCTTAAAGTGAACAAAAAGGCAGTTAGCAAAGGGAATTTACTAAGATATAATTTGTAGATAACTGCAATCGAAACCTTTTTGAATTTGATCTATAAAATCTATAAAATATATACCATCGAACGTCTTTAGGTGAACTCTGTAACTATATGCATTACAATCTGATCCTAAGAATGCATTTTATGAAATTATCCTAATGCATCCTAGCTTATATTATATTACATTTTGTTAATTTATTTCAAAAAATATAGTTTTTAAATTTTTTTGTCTCCAGTATTTTCGTGGTTTTCAAATCAAGAAAAAATATTGGCATCAGACGACAGAAAGAAAATCAATTATACATTCTATGCAAAGGTTCAACTGGTTTTCTTGAACCCAATTTTGTTTCAAATAAATTGCCAAAACATAAATTAGTTATGTAATAAAAAATATTTCAAGAAAAAGTTGATGGCAGGAGCAAATTATTATGAATATTTTTTTTCATGCATCTCCAAATAAAGAAGGAAAGATAACCATAAAAAAACATGATGATGCGACTTAAGATGTCAGAGATGATGATGGGGAAAATGTCTTGATCTGCGTTACTTACACAGCTAATCCCCGTGGGTGGTGGTTCCTGCTGGGCTGTCTAAGCCTTTGTTAAGACAAGTATTCGCCGCTATCGCTGTGTGCTCTTTGTGTTTGCTTTCTTTTTTATCTGCAGCGCATCCCTGGCCATTTGACGCTTAATGATCAAGGTCGGCCAGTTGTCCCTCTTTCATTTTATTTTATTTTTATACTCTCTCACAATGTTAAAAGAGTATATTGGTTTGTTGTAAAGGCCTACTGCCCTCCTTCTATCCGTATAAGCCCAGTATCTTTGATGCCTCCGAAGAGACTTGAGCATCGAATATAGTTTTAGGATTATAGGATTATGGAAACATTTATATATTCTTCAATTTAACAGCTAGCCTAGCAAAATTTAGAACAAATAACTGATGATATTCTTATAATGAATGATCCATGTAATATTAATATTATTTTATATTTTATATAATTATTACTATCAATTTTATTATTATTTTTAATGTTATTTTTCTTATTATTATTATAATTAGCATTATTATTATTATTATTATTATTATTATTATTATTATTATTATTATTATTGTTATTATTATTATTGTTATTATTATTATTATTATTATTATTATGATTATTATTATTATTATTATTATTATTATTATTATTATTATTATTATTATTATTATTGTTATTATTATTATTATTATTATTATTATTATTATTATTATTATTATTATTATTATTATTATTATTATTATTATTATTATTATTATTATTATTATTGTTATTATAGACTGTGAACGAGTGTTATGTGGTCGTTTATAGCCTATATTTTTTAACATGCTTTTGTTGTTGCTTGGCAGGTGCCAGCTAATGTCAGCTTGGTGAAGCTATTGTCTATGTAGTTTTTTTTTCAGTGTGCCGCATCTTCGTTAGGTGCTCGCCATTGGCTCATTTAGACCTTTTGGCAGAGCCATAACAACGTAATCGAGTGTATACAATGCGATAAAGTCGAATTGCTGGCACTTAATGTCAGTCTAAAGGCAGCTCCAACAACAACATCAACAGTGAAAAAATGTTCTGGCAAATTGGCCAACTTTGCGCTTTTTTCGTAATCCTGCTCGTCCTTTGGCTGCCCTTGCAGCCACGCCCGCCTGCCAGTCGCCACCCCTGCTCGCCCCCTTTCGTTTAATGAAGTGCCAAATGCTAAGTTATAGTTGCGGTCCATAGGCATCATAATTGTAATTGGCCCTATATGTAGTCGCACGTGTTCGTGACTTGGAACGCAGACATATAGCATGGAACATAACCATGAAATTTGACCACTTTGCACTAATTTTTCGATGACTTGTAGATAATGAAAAGGGTATGTAAGACTAGCTACTATAATCTTGCATATCCAAGAGTTGCCTACATTTTAAAAATTAATTTACTTAAATGTCTTTAACATGAAATTAATACTTGATCTCAGTCAAAGTTGGACCTGTATATAAAGCTTAAATATTTATTACGAAATTTGCTTAGAAACATAACTTATAAAATACAAATAAAAAAATGTTGTTGTATAGATTATTGTCAAGAATAATGTTAATCAAAATTCAAGGTTCTAACGATTTACAAAGCCAGTTTTAGTTTTTAAATTATCAGATTACAATCTGAGTATTATCAAATACCGATTCCTCGTTATTTATCTAATTGCATCTATAATATCTTCTTGAAATAGCCCAACTATTTAAAATATTGCGATAATTAGCAATAGGTTAATTGGGGTAATGTATGAAACAGAGTCATATAATAAGCAAATAAGTCACTTGGAAATTCAGTTTTGTGTACAACAAAAGTGGTATCTTTTGGTCATGCACTCGGCCAATGTCATGTTTTACCATTTTGTCTTTCCCACCGGTTTTGACACATTTAGTGCGCATTAAGCGTGGTTTTCTGCAAAAAAAAGCTGGTTTTCAATTATGCTTTGTGCTCGAGTCCTTTTGGCTGGCCACGGCAAAGCCGTAACGCTCTGTCGTACCTGTGCACTCGGCTCATTGCGCACGGCTGCGCTTTTGGCAGTTCCAAAGGCAGTGCCTCTTGCCGCGCCTCTCCCTCCAGCCCCTTTTTTGCCTGCCATTTGGAAACGTTAACAATTTTTGTAGTTCGCATTGTTGGATTTTTATTTTTTAACATGTATTTATATTTGAATATGCATGAAATTGGCATTGTGAAAATCAATTTAAATGGCTGCCATGAAAATAATATCGTATACGACATGTGTGCCCGGGCGTTTTGTGTGTGTTGGTAAGGGGGGAGATGGGATTTAGGTTATTGAAAATATATTGCATTTTGCATTGGCGGGGTATTAAGGGTTGCCAATGTTCAAATGGCATAAAAACTACCGAAGTGGAATTAAAAAAATACATTAGAATGTTACACTTGACTTAAAGATACCCTGTAGACAGGTTTTAAGTAAATATTATAATATATGTATATTTAAAGAAACCCTTGACTTTTAAATGATATATAGTTGAAGACGAAAAATGAGTACATAATATTTGAAATACAAATTTAAAAATTGTCTGGTATAAAAGAATCTATAAAACAAGCTATCTCTTGCTCAGAGTAATCTCTTAACTCACATAGTCTAGACGTATTTATTTAAAGTGATTATAGATGCTGCTTTCGTGTATTTGTTACGTAGATTCACCCTAGTTTATGCTGCCCTTTGTAACCATTGTAATATGTACAGGGTATGTGTCAGCGTTTGTTTATATAAGCTCTGTTTAAATATAAATTCCTTTTTTCTGCACAACAATAAACAATCAAGTCAAATCTTGTGTAAATCTCTTTTCCAATTATTAGTTTTACTTTTGAATAATCTTACAAAGAAAATCACTTGAAATTCAGTCAACTTTTCAAGCACCTGCCAGTTATCTGGTAAATAAATCAAATAACTCGAAAGCACTTTGCCATTGCGTATAAATTTTATTCTGGCCAAACAAAATACAATTTGCTGCCGTTATATAAAACTAAGTGAAAAGACAAATTTTAAATAAATTGCAAACAAATGGTCTGATTCAATTTCAAAAGCAACAACAACAACTGCATCTATAAGAGGCAAATAAAATAAGCTGCAACTTTGCAGTGACCGCAAAACACTTGACATGCTCAGATGCTGTCCAATATAAATGCAACAACTTTGGACGGACATCCGAAGAGAAAGGATGAAAGGCACCTCAGTCAGTGTGTGTGTGTCTGTGTTAGCTTGCCGCACCGGTGTGATACTGTGTGTTTCCGATGGGACGATAAAACAACTGAGCAAAGCAGCCCGCATATAGAAAATGACAATAAATATTCTACATGGAAGCTTTTTATACCCTGTACATGAAACAACAATGCCAGAGGGTAATTTGAGACGTTTGTTCGTGTATGACTGCTTCCATATTATAATTAATATGACGACTAGATTCTTACTCTCTTTCTCCCTCTAGTTCTCTTGTAAATGTAAATAAATATACAATAATTTATTAAAACATAACATACATTTTTGAAAATCGCATAGAACGGCGATTTTCAAAAAGCAGTTAAGAATACTCTGCGATATGGTAATTTTGTGAGAAAGTCTGCAAATTGTGTACCGTCTATCCCATGAGATAGTATTTAACATTCAAAGGAAATCAATATGGAAATATGATTAGAAACGATGTCTATAAATTATTGTGAGAGGGATAATATCGAAGATCCTTGTAAAAAGTACATACAATAATTATTTTCGAATATATTTCAGTATTTTTTTTTTTGCTTAGTAAAAATATATCAAATGGAAAATACACAGCAATCCAATTGACGAGTAAATGTGCGCGTTAAGCTTAGAGAAAATCAATTTCCAATTTGCCAGACTAAATTGACCAGTTTTCCACTACGGAAATGCGTTTAGGAGTTTTTCTGTGGCACCTTCACAATCACGCTCTTGACTTCCGTGTAGTTGGAGAGCGCATATTCGCCGTTCTCACGTCCATGACCGGACATCTTGTAGCCACCGAAGGGAGCCTGAGCGGCCAGGGCGTTGTAGGTATTGACCCAGACGGTTCCGGCGCGCAGACCGCCCACAATATAGTTGGCCTTGTCCAGATCCTTGGTAAAGACGGCTGCGGCCAGGCCGTAGTCGGAGTTATTGGCACGCTCGATGACTTCGTCAAGTTTCTTGAAGCGGATAAGCTGCTGTACGGGACCAAAAATCTCCTCGCGCGCAATGGTCATGTTGTCCTGGACATCGGCAAAGACCGTGGGTTGCACAAAGTAGCCGGGCAGACCCTGGGGTCGGTTACCGCCGGCTACCAGCTTGGCGCCCTGCTGTTTGCCAGTCTGTATGAGACCAAGAATCTTTTCCATTTGCTCCTGATTGACCTGCGGACCCTGTTCGGTGCTCAAGTCGAAGGGGTTGCCCACGGTGCGCTTCTTGGCACGCTCCGCACTGCGTTCCACAAACTCGTCGTAGATCTTGTCCTCGACAAAGGTGCGCGAGCCGGCACAGCAGCACTGACCCATATTGAAGAAGAGTCCAAAATGCGCCGTCTCCACGGCATAGTCCAAGTCCGAGTCGGCCAGAATAATGTTGGGCGATTTGCCGCCCAGCTCGAGGGTAACACGCTTCAGATTGGTGTTGCCCGAGGCCAGCTGAATCAGCTTGCCCACGTCTGTGGAGCCCGTGAAGGCGACCTTATCGACATCACTGTGATTGGCCAAAGCGGCGCCAGCGTCACCAAAACCGGGCACCACATTCACAACACCCTCGGGGAAGCCAGCTTCCTTAACCAGCTGTGCGATGTACAGGGCCGTAAGACTGGTTTGCTCGGCGGGCTTCAGCACAATTGTGTTGCCGGTGGCCAAGGCGGGACCTAGTTTCCAGGCCATCATTAAAATAGGGAAGTTCCAGGGTATAATTTGGCCGCAGACGCCGACAGGCTCGTGGCGTGTGTAGGTGAAGAAATCACCGTCCATGGGAATCGTTTTGCCATGATTCTTGTCCGCCCAGCCGGCAAAGTAGCGCAGATTCTTAATGGCCGTGGGCAAATCCACATTGTAGGCCATGCTATAGGGCTTGCCATTGTCCAGGGTTTCCAGACTCTAAATGAAAATATAGGCAAGGTGATTAGAAAGGCAGCGCAGTTTCTTAACTCCGAGCACTTACAGCTAGATAGACCTGGTCACGCTCTATCAGATCAGCGAGACGGTAGAGCAGACGACCACGATCCGAAGCATCCATGCGACGCCAGGGCGAGCCCAGTCTTTAACATAAAAAGTAATAATATGCAATGATTAGATTAGTTAGCTAATGCATTAAATTAAAGACACTCACTTGAATGCCTGGCGAGCTGCCTTAACGGCTATGTCAATGTCCTCCTTGCCGCCGGCTTGAATCTCGGCTATTTTCTGTTCGGTGGTTGGGTTGATGGTGCCAAAGGTTTTGCCTGTTTTGCTCTTGTGCCACTCATTGTTGATGAACAGCTGCAGGAAATCAGTAAAATTATTATTAGTTGCCAAATGCTTTTCCTTAGAATCACAAAGTCATTAAGTCATTATTTTATGCCCTACACCCATTGTAAATACGTAACAAATGGTATAATAATTTGTTGCAATTGTTTGTTGTCGTGCTTTCGTTTGCACTAACACCGCGAAGTTTATTTTTAAACAATTCTTCCTTTTCCTAAAAATCTATAAATAGTAAATTTTTTTAACCTGGTTCAGCCAGAATTTAATTTCAAATTATATTTGTATTTTTTAAGTATTGTTTACCTTCACGCACTCCCCTCGTTGATACATAAATACATTTAGCTTTTAAAATTTGCAGGAAGGGTATTTAAGGGCAATGTGTAGCTTTTGTTAGGGTATCTGATCGGCAGTCCTTTTCGTTGTTTACAGATTGTGTTTGATAAGCCGTTCCCTGTTTTGCACACAATTTGATAAGCACTTGATGTAAACCTCTTGTTGTTGCTTGAACAGTAATTAACCGCAAATAGCTGATTATCCGATATGTTGTAATTTAGCTAATATCTAATTAGGAGACTTGCGCCATATATATGCAATATATGTGACCCAGCCATGCATATGTATGTATATGCGCGCATATCACACACAATCACATAAATACATATATGTATATAAACGTCAGGCTGACGAGCTTGCCCATTTGTTTACCAATCAAACTCATCATGAGTTGGCGAATTGAAACATCAAGAAAACTTTCCGCCAGACAAGCCCAGCTACTGTAGAATTGTAGAACGACACGTGCGTGGGAGCTGTCTAGGTACCCCCGATTAGCTAGTTAGCGGTACCACCAAAAATAGCAGCATTACCAATAGCCTCTTATCTATATGCCCTTGCAAAAAACTTTATAATTTAAGACACGAAATATTTAACGCATTCATCGACTCTGATGCCATGAGGCTTAGAAGCGGCATACATATATATGTATATATACATATATACATTTTTGTATTTCAATTTTTGCGATTTTTTTTTTGTTTAGAACCAGTCGAAACTGGCTTGATTAGTGTAAATTATTTAAGAGCAAAAACTTTCCTAAACAGTAAGTCGAGACTGGGTTTGGGCAGGGTATTATGTAAAACATCAGTTTACTTTATGTAAAATGTTAATCGGCAAACTACACTTTAGTTCGCGTGGAGGAAAGAAACAAACATGCAATTATTAGTTCCATTATTTTTATATATATGGGGTTTATTAAATGATAACGGAAAGTGCAGGAGGTATGCGCTCTATATATGTTCACTATCTTTTAGTTAGTATTAAATAGATTAATTGACAGGTACATTCAATAATAAACACACAAACATATTGAATCTCAATGCATATAAAAAGTGTCTTATCAGTGGGCTTTATAAATGGAACTTCATAAATGTACAAGAGCACATCATAATGTACAAACATTTCTGCAACTATTTGTTTATGTATGAATTTATTCATGGAAGAATAACAGAAAAGCATGTTTGTTCCTATAAAGTTTATGTTTGCATTGTTTGCATGAAATTCAATTTAGATTTAAGCTAAATTTGTATGCAGACATGTTTGTGTGAAACAAAAGCTCAGCAAATTTGAACAATTCTACAAAGCAACAGCGTTTGATAAAGAGAGAAGGCGCTGCTCTGTTGACGCTGCTGCGGCAAAGAGAGCCGCGGTGTGATATAACGAGAGAGTGAGCAAGCAACAACAATAACAACAGCCGGGTGTAAATAACAAAAACTTTTTTTCGTTGCTGTGCTTTAGCCTATTCGCCGGTCTGCGTATGCTCCCGTTTGTCGTCCGGTTATTTTCCTATCGTTGTATGGCAGGCGTATATGCACATACATTCAAATATTTATCTTGTTGAACATTTGAGCGCCTGTATCCAGTTAATTCCAACCACAGTTATAAGAAATCAACTCAATTTCGCATTCAGTGCTTCTCCTTTGTTATTGCTACTTGCACTACTCGCAAACTTTCTGTACGTGTGCGTTTTTTCTAAGTAGTGGCACATGTGCATACATATGTACATATGCTGAAAGCTAAAGGGCAGCTGCGCTGTCAAGGTCAAGCAAAAGAGACGGCGAAAACTTGCAGCGTTGTTTATAAAATATAATCAAGATTGGCATCAATGTACATACACGTAAGAACCTTTGCATGCATATACAGACATATATATATATATATATATATATATATATATATATATATATATATATTATCTTGTTGTTTTGATAACATTATACGTACACATACCTTAATACATATATACATGTAATACGCATGCATGTGTGTGTATACTTACGCCAGTGTAGAGCACATCTGGAGTTGTCTGTGGCTGTGGCATTGCCGAGTAGGCAGCAGCAGCGGCCAAATTTTTGCATTCTGCACGCAACAATGCGCTCTTCCTCAAAACCCGCAACATTATGTATTATATGTTATTATTGGAATTTACAAAGCACAAGAGACAGCAGCTTTCGCACAAATCTGGAAGAAGACGCGTGTTAATTGTGCGGCGGTCGACTTAGAACTGAACGACTGGCGCCGCGGCGCTTAAGGCGAAAACTACGACGAATATTTTAAGAGACAGCGTGCCGCTCACACAAATCGCCGGCTCTCTTCAGCTTATCAAATGAAAACACATACATACATACAGCCGCTTGTGAGCGCGTTAGAGCAAATGTTGGTGAGCAATATGAAAACAGCTGCTGATCAGCAAATTCATGCTCAATTGTCACTCAACAATTTTGAGCAGCGCTTGCTGGCATACATTGAGTGATTATTATGGCATACATGTGCTGCAAACAAAAACAAAACATGTAAATTGGACAAAATTCAATATAAATCGTTGCAGTAAAATATAAAGATGTACGCATAAATATATGTATGTACATATACATCCATTTGTATGTGCAATTGAATTGTTGACTCTTGCGTTTGCCGGCAACGACAACGCCTTCAAATAATTTGTCAACTGGGATAACAAAGCTCTTTGCAAATTGAATGCAGGGAGAACGGGCGTTGTCAAAAGCTATGGCAGTGTGAGTGAGACAGATCACACTAAGGGGAATGCTAAGAGAAGCTCTTTACAGTTGTTGCAAGATAACAATAGCAAAACAAATGGACAAACATAAATAAAATTAGGATTTTTGGAAGCTAAAAATTGGGGGAAAATATTCGAAATAATTTGTTTAGAGTTTATAGAATATTTTATAGATATTACTTAAGAAGCTTTCGTTTGCTTTAAAGCTTCTTTAAGTTTCTTTTGCTCCAAAAACAGCCAAAGTTTAATGTGTATTCCATCTAAAAAAAGTGTCTTTAAAAATAATGAAAAAAATGAAATGACCAACTAATGTGTAAATAGATTGCTTGAAGCATAAAAGATTGCGAAAAGTGTGACCAGACCTGTAACTAATTAACATCACATATTTATGACACATACGCAGCGTAGCCCAAATCAGGGCTCGCAAAAGCAATCACAAGAACTAATTTGATGCCAAAATAAATGAAACAAAGTTTTTGTGGTGTACGCAAACTTGTGTTTTCCTTTCATTTTATTTATTTGGAGCCGAGTCGATAGCCGACCGTTGTGTCATGGTCAATTAAATTACCATAATCAAACGGCCTCGATAAACTTTAATGGCAATTGTTGTGCGTCGGGTGCCATTTGTTGGTGCTACTTATTGCCATTGCTGTTGCCGCCAGCTCTTGACGGTGGCACGAAATATTGAATTTATCCAATACAAACAATTTGACATTAAGACTATATGCGCATATGGGGGGTGGGACGCAGAAAGCAGGATGTCAGCGAGTTTAATGCGAACTGGGCGGGTTTATTTATGGGGCCAGCTTCACTTGTCCTGGGTTATAAATGTGAAATTAAATTTAAAATAAATTGTTGGAAATTACGTTAATTGAATTTGATTATATCTTGCGAGAGTCGGAAATTCAATTCGATTTCTGACGGATGCGGCGACATTGTGGCACGAATTATCCAGGTGGAGATTGGCTGATTGAAAAGTATATATATGTAGGGTATTTGCGTGAATTTCAGCAGTATGCACAACATACCTTCTATATAGAATTGAAACTTTGGTGATTTTTTAGGTAAAAGTTAGATTCAAGGAGTAAAAGAATTTATATTTTTTTTCAACTAATGATATTTCTCTAAGTAAAATTTCAGCTAATTTATCTTAAATACGTTTTTTCAAATTTATATAACTAAAAAGTTATATGTAGGGCAGCAAAAGGTATATGTATGCGCATTGAAAGCATCTATGTTTAATATGTGGCAAAGAAAAAAGGATAAGAAAAAGAAAACATCAAAAAGGTCAGCAGAAAAGTCGAAATGTATGCAAATGGCTTATAGCTGGATTTGCTTACACTTAGCTCGTCCTTGTGCTTTTCCGTCCTGTGCGTTTTTTTATCACTTACTGTTTAAGAGAAAAACCCCAACCGAACCGAATTGGGTTTGGTAGAATTTTATGTGGCTCGATTTAATGGCTAAAGCGAAAGGGTCAAGCAAACACACACACACACACACACACACACACACACACACACACACACACACACACACACACACACACACACACACACACACACACACACACACACACACACACACACACACACACACACACACACACACACACACACACACACACACACACACACACACACACACACACCACACACACACACACACACACACACACACACACACACACACACACACACACACACACACACACACACACACACACACACACACACACACACACACAAACGCATAGTGTGACAGAGAGTTATGGCAATGGTAATTTGTAGAGTTATTATGGCAGTTTGCATGGGCTAACGGGGCGTATGCGTAGTGCAGCTAATTTCTATGCAAATCCATTTAAATTTATCTGCCCCTCTTCTTGCCACTCGTTGCAGATATGAAACCTATAAGGCAACACTCAAGAAAATACCCGCAACGCGCCTCTCACGTCTGACCGAAGCCCTGGCCAATTATGATCCGGTGCTCAACGAGTATTTCTTCGATCGTCATCCCGGAGTCTTTACGCAAATACTCAATTATTACAGGTGAGGCAAGCAATTAAAAACTAATTAATTATTTATTATGTCACATTTAGCATCTAATGAATCCCTTCAACGCATGTGCATGCAGTAATTCTTTAAACTTCTTTCTTTTTGTTTTTAAACTCCTTGATTTTTATTGAATTTTAAATATAATTATTCGCAAGCCAACCCTAGATCTGTGTCCACTTTATACTATCTGTCTATCTGTTTGTATGCCAAAATGAAAGGGCGCAGATGTGATACGATAGACTTTTGGATTAATTGCATTTTCTTCGGATATCTAAGCCAAAGTTCTTATAGTTGAATCTGCAAAATGTTACCATAAAATCACAATCAACAAGAAACCTTTCCAATTTCCCATTTAAAACTGCCAACTTTTCAGCTCTGCCTCAGAACAAATGATTACATCTCTACAACTATAGATACCTTGGGAGCAATTTAATTAGTATATTAGCCAGAGTAATTAATCTTTGGCTATTCTTTCATGTTACCTTAGACACAAAAAAGAAGCAAGCTTCAATTTTAATTATGTACCTCAAGCTAAATACAAGCAGTCATAAATCTCAACTTTTTGGCGGTAAAGTTTATTAAAATTTTGGCACTTTTTTGTTAAAAAGGCAGCGCTCATTAGTTGGCAAAGATAAATTGAAAGTTAGCTAGATTTTCTATCTCGCTTTCTTGATAACTTGACTTATTCAAGATTAATGACAGGGTTTTTCCCCGCCGCCCCCTCGCACTGCACCCCACCTGCAGCAAGTGCAAATAAAGTTGTTGAAAGTAACTCAGCCTCATTACCATCTATGTTCCTTGCTATACATATATATAAGTATATATATATATATCTAAGGGGTATGTCAACTACTGGGGTGACTAGCCAGAGGGGCATGGGCAACAGTTTTTCCAACTCAATTAACTGAAACTCGGCAAAATACCATCGAAGAAGCAACAACAAAGCGTTGCACTCCATGCAAAAATAGAAGCAACAAAATTAAAATGAAGGTCCCTTACTTTAACATGCATATATAAATATTTATATATATAGACCACGGTTGAGCAATCAAATTATGTACACGCCAGAAGCTTTTTGCAATTTATAAACCAATTTACGTATTTTTCTTCCTTCCTTCCGCAAAATGGAACTAAGGCACAAGCAAAGTTGTGCTTAGAAATTAATATTTGCAAATAGAACCAGAGTTAGTAGATGTATGTATTTAACATACTTTACATACTTGCATAGCCATCAAATCTCGATTTGACCTTTAGCTGTATTCTACATTTAAATTTGATTCATTTGTGCAAATGCGAATTTGTTGTCTTTCTATGCGCTTCTCAGGCAAATAGTTTTATATTACATTTTCTAAAAACCATAAACCATAGTGAGAGATCTTCCTAGACTTCAAAGTTTTGTGAGGAATATAAATTATTTTATAGAGTAGCTAAGTGGAGATGCTTTATAAAGTACGAAAAGGTCTTTCAATTGCGCTATCCATTTAATTAAAAAGGTGCACTGCAGTCTGACAGATCACATAGTTTGCCGGGGTGGGCCGTATATGGGCATACGTAAAATGGGCGTGCCTGAAGGATGATGCGATGCGCATAATAAAACCCGCAATGTCCGCATGTCCACCCGCATTCATAATGGCCTTGAGCATTCGCTTGGGCCGTAGCTCGGGTTTTAGCTTAATTTTTTTCTTCCCCTCTTTTTTTGTGTTTTTTTTTTTGGTGTGCAGCATTCACCGTTCAACATTCGGGGCACGAAATGATTTGGAGCTGGCAAAAAGCATCGCAACAAAAGGTTGCAAAGAAAAGTTGCATAAAATATGCACAAAAAGGACAGTCTGGATGCACATGTGGCGGACACATGTCGCATATGGCCGTCAGCCAGAGCATGGAAAAAAAATATAAAATAAAACAAGGCGAGGCGAGGCGAGGCGAGGCAAGAGCTACGATTACTTTTATTTCGAATAGTCGCTGCACTCGGTCCACTCGGCCGACAACGGCTGTCCAGTAGCTGATATGGTATTACAAGTTGGCCAGTAGCTGCGGACAAGCGCCTGTCCCTGGTTGCCCGCCAGCCCCGCCATTATTCATCATGCCTCACGCACGTGCAACCATTTGCAGCAATTTGCACACGAAAAACAAAAGAGTTCTTTTTTTTCTTTGTTTTTGTTGCACCTGCAGAGGTCATAATGAAACAATTGGGGGTTTCGGCAAGATGATGGGGCGGAGAGCACACATGCGGTTCTCAGGCATGAATTTATCCGACTTGCATATGCATGGGATATGCAAAAGTTTCATTAGTTTCGCAATCCTCTCAAGATTTTTTATTGAATATTTTGAATTAGAATTAGTTGGAATATTAACTGTAATGTATATTTTTAATCAGAATTGGTATGAACATTGTAAGTCTTTAATATTGTGAAAT